TTTTTTTAAAAAGTGAAAAGAGGGGCCAGCAGTTAGTGTAATGGCTGTGTCGCTGGACTCCCATGTAGTTGACCGCGGTTTGAGTCCCAGACCCAGTGGCTTAAACACACGCCGGGCATGTGTGTGTGTGTGCGTGTGCCCAAGATTCCGAGAGGAGAATGGAAGAGAAGGGATTGCGGCGTGGCCATCCCCCCCTGGGGAGTAATTTCTCGCTTTCTGTCTCTGTCTCTGTCTTTCTGGTGAGTACATGAGCCCTATAGCAAAAACCTCTTGAAAAGAAAAAAAAAGTGAAAAGGGATCTTAAGATTGTTATGGATGAGAGGTACTAGTGGGCTATTCCGAAATGTTAGTGCTGCTTTCCCTGAGGGCTGACCTCAGTTACCATCAGACACAGCTCTCTGTCACGAGGGAATCCTCCCTCTTTGCTAGTACCAAGTGAAAGCCTTGGAGACAGAGGGAAGTCGAACTCATGGCATTCGGCTGCCTCAGTTTGCCTGCTGGCCAACATTGACCTTTTACAGGGACTGTCAACATAAGCCAAGTAGTCTGTGGGGTGCTCGTTTCTGTACTTAGAAAACCTAAGGAGAAAAGGCCGCCATGTAAGCTTGGAACGAGTGTCTGGCGTCATCAGCGCTTGGCTGTCTCTTGAACACCCACTGAGTGGCTATACTCTGCCAGAACACTTAGTCGTCTGGCTAGCTCTGTGGAACTTATTTCCGTTACTTATTCCAATCCTTTCATGCATTGAAAAGTCCTTCCACTCGTGGACATGGGAAAGCAGAATATGACCTCAGCATGCCTGCAGACACCACCTTCCCTCTGTACCCACATTCACGGGACCTCAGGGACTTGGACATTGTTTAGGCTGTCGGAGTCACAGGCTGGTGATGACCAATCTGCAGTCCCCAGCTTCTACTTACAGCAGTGGTTTTCTCTTACTCTTTAATGGCTTGCTAGCGACTTCCTCGCATGTCACTGCCGTGTAAATGGCTAGGTTTTGCATGAGTCTTTTTCTTTTCTTTGTAATTTCTTCATGTTGGCCTCAAAGTATAACTTGTTTCCTTGTTAACTGTTTTCCACTCATAAGTCAAGCTCTTCAAAGAAAGGGGTTTTGTCTTCTTCAATGCTGTATTTCTAGGGTCAACCATAGTACGTTATGAGTGGACAGTCAATATTTGTTGAATGAATAAATCTTATCTAAATTCTTGGTCTTTTATCTACAATTGGCAATGCATTCATTCCCTTACCATTATTGTTCAAATTTATGCAGATTTCCAGGTATCTATGAATTAAATATGCACAACATGTATTTCTGTGAATAATTAATGTAAAATTTGAAAGCCTACATTTTTTTATTATTTAATTTTATTATTTTTATTATTATTATTTTAATTTGCTATCGGGTATGTGCACTCACCAGAGAGAAACAAAGAGAGAGAAAATGAGAAAGCAAGCTGCCAGGTCTGGGACTTGAACCTCTGTCTATCTTGTAGAAGTTCAGCACCTTGGGGCCAGCAGGTGGCATGGTGGTTAAGGCGCTGGACACTCCCACATGGCTGACCATGGTTTGAGTCCTAGACCTGGTGGCTTGCTTTCTCCCTCCCCCCCCCCTCTCTGTATCTCTCTCTGGTCAAATTAAAATAAACAAATGAATCAGTACAATTAAATAAATAATTCTTTCAAAAAATATTTTTAAAAAAAGTTCAGCACCTTAACCATCAGGTCTAATAATTTGAATAAGAGTATCTGACCATATATGAACATTGTAAGCATAGTATTTCTTTAGGAAAATCTGATTTTGTGCTGTAGAAGAACCAATTCTTTTATTTTTATTTATTTTTTTTAAAGAGACTTTTTTGTTTTTGTTTTGTTTTTGCTATAGGGTGCCAGAAAGACAGAGAGATGGTATGGTTTTTAATTCCTTAAGAAGACTCCTCCTCTCCCACCTGGGGGTAGATCAGCCCAAGAGAAAATGGGCCTTGTTTTAAGACTCCTTCTTCTTCCATACACAAAGGTCACATTGCTAATGCCTTTTGGAAAGAAAGGGCGATTACAGCCGGGATTCTATTCTAACCGGTTACTTTCTGCTATGTACTTACACCCTCACTGGTGCAAACATACATATATTTGCAAAAGAAATCCTTCAAAAAGAGGCTTTGGCTGACAACTGGTGAGAGGTATTACTGAAATTTATTTTAATATATGACTATATTAACCTTATTTCTAACTGCAGTTTTTACACATGACCATTGAAGAGTATTATGAAAAAAAAAGAACAGTTAACACATAATCTTGCCACACAAATAACCATTCTTAACATTTTCCTCAAATTTTCTTCCAGTCTTTTTGATGGGTTTCATGTAATTTAAGTAGAAATGTCATAAACATCTTCGCAAGTTATTTAAGTCTATGTACATATTAATTAGATAATAGCCACATGATATTTATTGTTTCTGTTTACCTTACTGCTTACCCATTCTTTTAGTATTGACATGTAAGCTATTTCAGTTATTTAATGACACAGCCTTTTTGAGATTGATACCTTTGTGTATAAATTTTTGTCTACTGTTTATTCAAGTTAGAGTCCTAGAGGTAGGGTTACCGAGTTACAGGGCATGGTCATCTTTATCCAGTTGCTAAAGCACTGCAGGAACGCATTCCAGGGATGTTCTATCAATTCACATTCTCACATCTGTGTATATGAGAGTAACTCTTCCTCCTTATGAAAGGAGGGGGAAGTGTACTTCTTACCAGACCACAGTCAAAAATTAATTTTCTTTTCAGACGGTATATTCTTTAACATTGTCTCCGCATAGTTTCTGTTCCTGTGTTTCAGCTTTTGGTGTGGCCTGGAATGTTTGTTACCTTGTCTGAAAGAAAACAAAGTGGTTTTCACGAGCTAACATTTTCCATTGTAGAATTTCCTGCCCTTTGCCACAAAGTGTCTATTTGTAACTATAAACTGGATGAGATGACAGTCAAAGGAGGCCCTTACCTTCCTAAGGAAAAGCCATTTTCTGGTCACCTTTCTTAGATGGCGTTAGTCACCCAGCTTTATCCCTTTCAGAGTTATTAGTAGGTCCACTCTCTGTAGCTATGAGTAAATGCAATGTTTTCTTCATTTGAAAGCAAAACCAACAGACCCCTTCCTTGTAAAGCAAGTTAAAACAAAAAGAAAAAATAATATAAAAACTTCAGGAAGGTAGTAGGTAAAGCATTTAGCTTTCTAAAACAATTCAAATGGGGATAGGAAGTTGGTTTTAAATGGCTTAGAGGGGATTAGGGTTTTAAAGTTGGATAAGGAGTTTGGTGCTTTGGTTTAGGCATGGCATTGCTTTTAAAAGATTACTTCCATATTTGACAACAGTTCTAACTAGAGATTATAAAGCAAATAGCTGAGTTTAAGACACCATGGAAAACAAGAAGGTTTCTTCCTTGTTGTTGTTTGTTTATACAAAACGATCACCCAGAGTTAACAGGCTGGATCCTGAAGCCCTCCTTTCATAATACTGCCAGAGGGTCTGTCACCGGGGGAATCCAACAGAGGTTGTTTAATGCACTTCATTGAGATTATCTGAGCTTTTGGCTTAAATTACTTTGAAAAAGTCTAGGTGCAAACAGCTCCTCTGAAAGGTAAACGCACCTCTAAGAAAAAAAGTTCAGTTTAAGTTCTCTAACATTCTTCATGCAGTTAGTACACCAACCCTTACTAGTTAAATTTGACTACTGACTAAATAATATGTAAAGGTAAAGTATCTTTTTGTAAAAAATAAAAAAATTTTAAAACGAGAGAGACAGAGAGGCAGAAAGCGAGAAAGAACCCCCCAGGGGGGATAGCCACACCGCAATCCCTTCTCATCCCTTCTCCTCTCAGGATCTTGGGCACGCACGCACACATGCCCAGCATGAGTTTAAGCCACCAGGTCTGGGACTCGAACTGGGGTCAACTATATGGGAGTCCAGAGATGTAGCCATTACGCCATCTGCCGGTCCCAAGATGAAGTATCTTTAAGGGTGCTGGACTCCCATGGCTGACTGTGGTTGACTCCTGGACTTGGTGGCTTGCTCTCTCACTTTCCCTCCCTCTCTCTCTTCTACTCTGTCTCTATCTGGTCAAATTAAAATTAATGGGAACCAGCAGTTAGCATAATGGTTATGTCGCTGGACTCCCATGGTCGACCGTGGTTCAAGTCCCGGACCCGGTGGCTTAAAACTCACACCGAGCGCATGTGTGTGCGTGCCCAAGATCCCAAGAAGAGAATGGAGGAGAAGGGATTGCGGTGTGACCATCCCCCCGGGGGGTGATTTCTCGTTTTCTGTCTCTCAGACGCCCCGCCCCAAAGGGAAAAAAAAAAAAAAAAAAAAAAAAAAAAAACTCTCCAAGAAAAATAATTAATTAATTAATTAACCTAAATAAAATAATTCTTAAGAAAAGATAAAATCTCTGTATTTATTTAAGAGAGATTTTTTTTGCTTTAGGGTGTAAGCACTCACCTCAGAGAGATAGAGACAGACAGAGAGACAGAAAGCAAGAAATCACTCTTCAGTGGGGATGGCCATGCTGTAATCCCTTCTCCTCCATTCTCCTCTCAGAATTTTAGGCATGCACACACCCACCCAGTGTGAGTTTGAGGCCGCCAGGTCCTGGGCTCGAACTGTGGACGATTATGTGGAAGTCCAGCAATGTAACCATTATGTCATCCATTGGTCCAGTACAAGTCTAATATAGTTATATTGACAGGGTTTTCGTTCTTTTACAGTTATTTCAAAATAAGGTATGTTATTAGGAAAGCAAGCACTGACAAGTGTAATAATTTCAAAGTCAAAAGATATATACTGTTTGGTTATAAAGTGCAGTTAAAGAAGTTTTAAAAAATGAATTTCCTTATTCTAAGAAGCAAGGCATACCAAAATAGACCAAAAATTGCATAAACTTGATTTATATATTAACTGTGGCTGAATAATCAAGAGTTGATCAAACATGTTCCCGTCTTCCTCAGCTCCTGGACCTGTTTATGGTTTGGGATTGGTCTACTTATCTAGCAGATTACGGACAGCCTGCTTCTAAATATCTTCGAGTGAATCCAAACACAGCCCTGACTCTTTTGGAGAAGTAAGTATATGCTGAAAGCTTTTTTTTTTTATACCATTTAAGCATATTTTTTATTTCGTGATAGAATGAAGAATTCGATTTCTATTAGAAGAGAAGAGTATAAATGAGACTTAGAAGTGCAGTCCTTTTCTATCCCTCCTAATTCGTTAGAGTTCTGGACTCCCGGAGACAGAGAGAAGTGAAGAAGCCCCCACAGGGGACAGGGTCACTCCACAGTCCCTTCTCCACGTCTCTCTCCTTTGGGCACATGTTCACATGTATCTGGTGTGCTTCTCAAGCCACCTGGTTCAGATGAACCGCATGTTTGACCACGTGGGATCCAGCAGCCTTATTCGCCAGCCCACCCAGCTGGCCAGCTCAGACCATTTTAATGAGCAAAAGATAAACTTTTCTTTCTTACCCTTCAGAGCTAGGGTAGTTTCTCACACGATTGATGTTTCTATGTATGGGAGCGGGATTTTTTTTCCCTCTTGTGTCCTATGCTGCAGGCTGGCTTGACCTTACAAATACTTTTAGTGCATCTACGAGTGAGAACTGGAGCTTGTGTGTGTGTTTAATCTCTAACAAGGAGAGAGGCATTTTGTCTGACGTGGCCAGGCCCTGCAGTGTGTGCCACCAGTGCTGTCCAGTCCTGTGGCTGGACTTGGAGTCTGTGAGGACAGAAGCACGTGAACTTGAAAAACTAATACACTGACAAGCAAGGGACCAGGGATTACGGGTACATCCTGCCCAACAAAACACAAATGTTGCTGTTACTTTCACACTAGTATGTGGCAGAGTTTCTCCTCACTCGATTGTATTTCATTCTAGGTATCATTATTAAGCTTCTAGTTTTTAAAATTAGAAGTAAATATTATTTTCCCACAACTTGAAGACTTCTCTGGTGTGTTTGATTTGAAAGGATGAGAAGAACTGTTTAAAATAAATATAAATTTGACAATGCCATGAAGCATCACTGAGGCCAAAACCTTGCTGTTTAATCATTTTCTATTTTTCCTCTCACTGTGTCCTGCTGTGAATGATTTGCAGAGTCCATAGAGGGTGTGTATTTTAGCATACTTCATGGAGCGATATTAGGAGATAGTACAAAACTAGAAAAATTAGCATAGTTTACATTTACACGCTAATGCAAAAGCACTTTCTATAAAATAAGAAACTTGCTCATTTTCTGTGTGGTTTCTCTTTTTTTTTTGGAGAGGTTTTTGCTATAGGGCGTGTGCAGAGACACAGAAAGTGAGAAATCACCCCCCAGGGGGAATGGCCACGCCGCAATCCCTTCTCCTCCAGGGATCATGGGCACTCACGCACACCCGCCCGGCATGAGTTTAAGCCACCGGGTCCTGGACTTGAACTGCAGTCGACTACATGGGAGTCCAGCGACATAGCCATTATGCTAACTGCTGGTCCCACTTTTCTGTGTGGTTTCTGTATCTGTGAGTTCCTTAGTACCTATTCTCTTTGGCATACACTTTTCACATAGGCTTAGTGTGAGATAGTTCACAGCATGCCAAAATAGTTCACTTGCGACAGCAGAGCTTTTCATTTCTCTTGACTAAGCTTCTTCATCCCCCTATGTTTGTAGGATGAAGGATACTAGCAAAAAGAACAATATATTCGCTCAGTTCAGGAAGAACGATCGAGACAAACAGAAGCTGATTGAGACGGTGGTGAAACAGCTGAGAAGCCTGGTGAATGGTATGTCCCAGCACACATAGACTTCAGTCGCTCGCATTCCGTGACACCAGGTCGGTGACTCAGCACCGCTCTTTAACAAGCACTGGTCATGAAACAGTAATGTGTTGATAGAGTTCAAAATACATTAGGAAAAAGACACTGCCGAGGGCTTGAACAAGAAACAGTAATATCATTTGTACGGATTTTTACATAATTGAATACTATTTTATATATGGAATATGTGACTTTTTTACTTTTAAGGGAAAAAGGCAAAACTAATATATAAATCAAGTCAAAAGTTGTATATGAAACTGATTGCAAATACATTAGGCAAGCTTTATGCCTCTTACACGTTTTTTTCTATTTTGACTTAAATGATTTTGTGGGTTTTTTTCTCATCAGTAGATGAATATGGAATGCAATTGTGTCTGATGTGGGAGCATTTCACTGCCATTTTCTGACTTTTAGCTTTGTTTCCACTGCAGTGTAATTTAAGTAGACTAAAAATTTTTAATTCTGCTGATTCTGAGGAGCCAATAGACATCTTCAAAGCTCCCCGAAATGGAACTTGATTTTAATGTAGTAAGGATGGAAATTATTTGTTCTACTTGGATGGTTTAATTTAATTGTTCTGAATATGAAGAAAAAGATTTCGGAGTTCCCGAAGATGCAGGGTCTTTCACGCTCACGCAGAGGGGGTGAACATCTCCGATTTCTCCTGGTACTGACCGGCTCTAGGATTGCTCTGGTTTTGTTTGTTGGAGAGGGACTGACTGGGGCTAACCCCTCTAGGTGCAGCCTGTGCACCAGTAGCCAGGCTCCCCATGCAGAGGTCACCGCAGGGGTCAGGCTGCTCCCGAGGCAGGTCTCCACCGTGCCCCTCACTGTGGGAACAGGCCAAACCAATGAACTCTGGAAAGCCCATGGCGGTTGTACAGTTTCCTTTGTGTAAGTTGCCAGGGTCCAAATTGCAAACAAATCTGACTGCTGTTTTCTCTGTGTTTATACCGAATACTCCCTGTGCGTTCTCAGGGGCTGCACACCTGGCTCTGTAAGATCAGTGTACAGATCGTGGGTACCTCTCCTGACTGTGTGACGCAATATTAAAAAGGTTGACAAGCTGTTGAAGATGTATTGTTATTTCATCTGCTCCCAGC